TCAATCAAAAAATATATAAAACTTGTGTAGAGTTCAAGTTTTAATTTTATAATGTGAATAATGTCTAACTTTAAACTTAAGCAAATAAGTTATGTTTATATAAGTAAATGCGAGTAGAAAAGATAGAAAATGATGATAAATAAAAGATGTTAATGAATGTAATCATAGTAATGAATAAATATGTAAGTAGATAATGATGAGATTGTAGTTATAATGATATATATATATATAGCCAAATAGATGATAGTTGATTTTGTTTTCTATTTTAGAAAACAGTTTTTAAAAATTCTCCATTTTGCTAGAAAACTAGAAAATAATGTTTTCAATTTTTAAAGTAGAAAACTGTGCTAGTAATCATATTTTATGTTTTCTGTTCTCCAATTCTCAAGTTTTTCAGAAAACTGGAGAAATTCTCCAGTTAGTGAATTGGTCCAAAGCAAACTCCAAATGGTTGTAGTTTGGATGGGATGGTGAATAAGGTTGAATTGTCGTCCTCAGGGAATGGATTTATGGCATGCAATTTGTGGAGACTAGTCCTAGACACAAGGGTATGAAGCTATTTGAAAGCTAAGCAAAAGGGAGAATTAAGGAGGGTGACAAAGATATAAAGACCAAGGCAACTAAATGTAATAATCACACGAGATAGGATAAAATAAGGAAGGACCTAGGATGAGGGAGCATGATGTTCTAGGTGCCAATTACTAAAGGGATGGAAGTGAAAAATATCAAAATTAGGATCCAAAATATTACACAACCATAACTCAAGATTATAAACCACTTTCATGGTCAAACGAATTCCAGTCGAGATTTAGAATTGTCCCACTTTCGTGATATATCAATTCCCAAATTAATAAGTCCAAAAGCAATCAAATCTCCCCTAAATCCGTCCCCTATTTTTATAGAAGGAGAAGGGGTACAGTTGCAAAGAGAGGCTTGGGAATATCAATCCAACTTTCATTGAGATTGAATTCCCTCCCAAAATAATGCCAAAGGTGTTGTGCACCACATCTTAACAAGAGAATACAAAGAATCCCCCACAACATTTGGAACCCTAACAGGGCGTTTGGTTGGAGGGATTTTAAATTCCCACCTAATTCCAAAGGCCATTAAATTCCGTAGTTTGGTTGGAGGGAATTGCAATTCCCCCATTTTCATGGAATTAAAATCCCATGTCCCCCCTGGGATTTTAATTCCTGGGAAAAAAAGATAGTGATGAGTCAAAATTACCCCTTCCTTTTTTAACCTAAAATTAATGTCTAACAACAATAATTGACATTTTTGACTTTATACTACTTATTCCCTTTTAATTCCCATGTATACCAAACATTGGAATTAAAATTCCTAGTAATTCTATTCCTGTCAACCAAACACTGGAATTTAAATTCCACTTTATTCCCAGTAATTCAACTCCCATAGAATTACAATTCCTTTCCCCATAATTTTCCCCCTCCAACCAAACGCCCTGTAAATTGAAATTTTACCCCTTTATACAATAATATAATCATGAACACGGCATCTAGAAGCTCAAGTCACCCTCAACCCAAGTCCTAAAAAGAACTACTCAGACATATTTATTGTAAAGAAAGCGAAGATATAAATGACAACCAACATCATAAAAGCAAGAGAATAAACTTATGGTATATAAAGAAGAGTCAAGTATGTGCTTTAATTAGTTCCAACCCACAACTTTTCAAGCACAAAATCGAGTAAGTAGAGGGCGAATTATAGACAAATAAAGTGGTTATCAATTAACTAAACTAATACTACTTTTGTTCAATTTCAAGAAAAGCATATCATCTATGAGATAGCAGAAACGAAGTAGATGAAGAGCATCAACAAAAATAGTTCACCAGCTCTACAATTCAACACCACCTATTAGCTTTGGCAATGAGAAGAGGAACTCTTAGGTCATAGAATCACTACCAAAGAAACAAATCTAGATCTCATCAGCCGTATACCATATACCGTTTTAGATTGGGAATCGAAAGAAAGGTTCTAGTAGGGCGGGAGATCAAATAGAAGCCTCTAATACGTTGAATGGTTTTAGTTGACACAATTGCATACTCTGCTTTGTCTTCAACTTCTTTACAGAGATCTTCCATGTGTTGTCATGGCTTTGATTTTGATCTATATATTGCCGATGATCTCTTTTCGCCACTCTGATCGGAAGTCCCAAGATATGATGCCGTAAGTCAAAGTGGTATAGTGGTGACTAATGGAAATGATGGCTGCATGCATGGTGTTTAATTGCCATAAACACACAGCTAAACTAAAGATCGCACCTTTTCTGACAATTCAAGTTAGTTGATCTAATCAAAGTCGTCGTGTATAACTTTTTGGCTAGATTAGTAGTCAGGCAATATAATGGGGCATTCCAAATTTAATTTGCAGATGTGAAGGCAAAAGTGCATCATTTTGGCAACCATGAAAAACAGGCCGGATGACGATAGATCATTAGCAATTTTTTAGAGCTCTGATCTTGATGTAGTGAGAACCATGCACCACGGCGCACATAGCCATGTGCACCCCGCGCCTCCCAAAACGACGTCGTTTTGGTAAGTTATGTAGGGAGTTGACCCGATTATGTGTATTTGTTTATAAATTATGTGTATTTGTTTACACAATTATGTGTATTTGTTTATATAATTATGTACATTTTTTATACAATCATGTACATCTTTTTTATACAATTATGTACATTCGAAATAGGAAATTTATGTGTATTATGTTAAGAGTTGATGTTTATTATGTTAAAAGTTTATGTATATTATGTATTATGTTAGATTATATGTATTATCTTTTTAAAAAAAATGTATGTTTATTTTGTTATACAATTATGTACATTCATGTATACAATTATGCGTATTCTAGTATAAAATTATATACATTTTTGAACTTGAATTTTTTTTTAAAGAAAATTAACCGCCAATACAAGATAGCGAAATTCAAAAAAAAAAAAAAAAAATCTACAACAACGTCGTTTTGCATCAGGACGCACAATGCAATGCGCGCCCTAGTGCAGGATATAAATTGCCAGTGAGAACAATACTGGCATACTCTGTCTAGGAATGGCCCAATAACTCTCCCAAACCAAAATGAAATGTAGTGAATAGCAGAGATCATTGCTTCGATGTCGGTCAAGTAACTCTCTCAGACTCTCTTCTCAATTGAAAATGCATAACACTGGCCAACGACTGTCGAACGGCCGTCGATTGCCTTCTCATCGAAGAAGGTGACCCAAATGGTTTCTTTCTCAACGGCTATAGATGGCGACCATCTGGGCTGCCTTCTCATAGGAGAAGGCGAGTGTTTGTAGCCCGAATAGCGGCATAGTTGATCGGAGGATCGTTGAAATCCTAGTGACCTACTATTATATCACTAATTGATTTTTAATTTGGACTTCAATGCACCAAAATAATATGTTGGTGGATTTAATTGCACATGTTATAATTTTAGGAACCTAATTGACTTTTCGAGTAAAGTTTAGAGTTATATTTAACATTTTTTCCTAAAATAATAGATATTAGAGTTTGAGTAAGATGTGTATAAATTTAACAAATCATTATTGTGTGAACCATGGTCCACACAAGTTGTGTGAACCATATTTTGTATACTGTAAAATAATGTACATTTAGTACAAAAATAATATACATTCAATACAAAAATAATGTACATTATATTCAGGGGATGTACATTATTTTTGTACTGAGTGTACATTATATTGTATAATGTACATTCAGTAAAAAAATAATGTACATTTAGTAAATTTAAATGTATTTTTTGCTATGATCCACACAAGTGACATAACACTGTGTATTAAAGGATATTTGTGGGCCAAATTTTTATTCATCATCGATATGGCAATAAAGCTTTTTTTTTTTTTTTTTTAATTTATTCCGTTGTTTACCTCATTAAAAATGAAGCTCTTTTAAAAATGGAATTTGTTTATTAATTAATAAAATAGAAATCATATAGTGAAACACCGTATGGTTAAATTATTTATGTATTTACATACTGCTTAGTTAGCTTGTTCTCATTGGGCAATCGTTATGTTGTGAGCACGTGCCCACCTTGCAAGGTGTGCACGGTTCCATGCCCATAATTTATATATTGTAGATTCATAATTTCTATACAGTAGATTCACAATTTCTATACTGCAGATTCATAATATCTGTACTGTAACATAATTTCTGTACTATAAATTCATAATTTCTAAACTGTATAGTTATCAAATTATGAACATATAGTTCTCTGATTTGTGAAAACAGAGTTCAACAATTGAAATCTAAAGTATAAATTTTATGAATCTACAGTATAGAAATTATGGATCTACAGTATAGAAATTATGAATATGGAACCGTGCCCACCTTGCAAGGTGGACACGTGCTCACGGCATAATTTGCCCTCATTGGGTCTCCCCTTCCAAATAAATAAATATTCTTTTTATTCATTTTTTGTGACGAGAGAAATTCAGTCACTATTCGTAGGTGCACTGGATAAGCTCTTCCTTATAACCCTAGCCGGTAAAGGAGCACAAGGAAATATGGTGAATTTTTATTTTTTTTATTCATATAACACATTAAGACTATCCAAATTTAAGACACCAATATCCTAACCAAATATGTACACGAATATATCTTAAATTCACTTCAAATTTCTTGTTTTGGTTCAAATAATCCAAATAAGGTGACATGTTCATAATACTAGATTTACAACCATATATTATTCAATAAAAATTATTTTATTGCCTTAATATGAACACAATTAATGATAACTTTGACTAATTGATTAAACTTGACTACCAGGACTATGTGGTCTAATGGTATCCGAGTTGGACTTCCAATTGGAAGATTATGAGTTCAAGCCTCAGTGGAGGCGTTATTGGTTCTTTGTGTTTCAGTAGGTTGAGAAAGTATATGAACAGATACTACAATGTAATAGAACCAGTAGCTTTCAAAGAAAAAAAAGATTAAACTTGACTAAAAATAAAAATCCATTGCTAAACCTAAGGAACAATCAAATATTGGGTGCTGCAGTTTCGTACAAGTTAATACATATGTTTCTGTTACCAATGTTAAAACAAGATGACATGAGTATAAAGCATAATAAATACTCCGTAAATACCATCAAACTACCATATATACTAAGGAAAATATAACGTTGTTTTCGTTTTGACAACAATTTACATGCATGTACCTACTACGATTCAAATGTACAATTTATCTGATAAATGGAGTGTATGCCAGGAGTAGGGAAATAGCTACATAGCTCCATACAAACGTGGTGGAGGGACTGTTGCTCGATGGATTCCCGCGTGGAATAGGAAGCGGCCGTGCCCCGGTGGCTCCTCCGGTAGTTCCACCGTTGCTTCCGCTATTTCCACTACCGGGATCTCCGTCATCACCACCACCACCATCTCCACCATTTCGGCCGCCTCTATTATTATTTGTACCGCCACCTGTTCTAGTTCCACCACCCTTTGCACCACCTCCGCCGCTCGCTCCACCTCCCTTTGCTCCACCACCACCGCTACTGACGCCGCCGCCACCGCCCCGGGCTCCTCCTCCTCCTATGCTGCCGCCACCACCCCGGGCTCCTCCTCCTCCACCTCCTACACTACCACCGCCAGCCGGAGGAGCAACCACAGACGTTACAAGAATGCATATTAAAGAGAGCATAAGAATTGCCTTCACAACTTGCTGCATTTTCTCATATACTTGAACATGTATGTTCTTCTCCTTCTTATAATGGCAATCCACATAATGCTTGTCCAAGTCAAACACGAAAACGTGAAACTTCTTAGAACAATCGATGTTGTTATCTTGTTGACGGAATGGAATTAATTCAAGGGCGTTTGTTTGAAAAGTTGGAATTAAAAAAATTCTTACTTATTAATCATTAGAATGAATTTTAATAAAAATAATTTCATTATTTAGATGTAGATAATATTTGAAATTAATGTGTGTGTGGGGACGCGCCTATTATTTAAAAACGATGATAAACACCCTTATATATAATTATTATTCTTGATGTATATCATTTTATTATTTAGATATATGAATTCTTTATTAATTAGTTAAGATGGAGCCACCCAATCCAGGAAAAAAGACTATAATGTGACAAAGGGCTGGTCCATTTCCGTAAATAGGACACTTTTTTTTTTGGACTAAAATGTGAAAAAAAACATTTGGGACATGCGTTTTTGGCATGTCCCAGGTTTATTTTTTTATTTTTTTTATACTTTACCAAAGACGCATCTGGGAATTGCGTCTTTGGTATTGTATACGGCTGTCGCATTTACGAAATGCGATCGCCGTATATCAATAGCATACGTTAAAACGCATGTACGAGATGCGTTTGGAGTATTTACGTCCAACGCATCTCGTACATGCGTTTTAATCACCAGTCAGCCGCCGATTATATCGAATATATGCGTACATACATCCAACGCATCTCGTATTATACGTGTTGAGCGTCTGACAGTTGGACTGCGCACCAAAAACGCAACTCTGAGTTGCGTTTTGACCGCCTGACAGTTGGTTGGCCCATAACACGTATATTCACAATTATTAAACTTTATATTCACAATTACGGAACTCTATGTTCATAATTACAGAACTATGTATTCATAAATATAAAGCTATATATTCATAATTTTTGAACTTCATATTCACAATTATTGAATCTTTATATTTATAACTACAGAATTATATGTTCATAATTATGTTCACAACTCTATGTTCATAATTATAGAACTATATGTTCAAAACTTTTGAACTATATATTCATAATTATGAATAGTTTTGGAACAATGTCCACCTTACAAGGCGGACACGGTTCCACAACATAATTTGCCATTTGATTCGCAAGTGGCCTTGCCAAGAATATGATTTCTTCTTCTTGAACATACACAATCACATATTGTCTAACAGGCTTCATATTTCTTATTCTTTTTTTTGTATCCCAGATTCATTTTTCTAAAATTAATGAATTTTTTTCTTATTGATCCAGACTTTTGATTTGAATTTGTTTAAAGGGTTCTGACAATGTTTATATGTGAACTATCCATATTTAAGAAATGTTTGCTCTTTGGTTAATGGTGATTCCTTGTGGACTGACGGCTCACGGCTCTTGATCATTTAGAATTGATGATGTTTGCAAGTTGGTGGAGAAATTTTACCCTCAAGACTTTATAATATAATGATGTATTTTGGACTATGTTAAATGAATATTAATGTATTTAATTATTCTCTTTCAAATTGTGAATGGCCCCCCGCACCAACAAATCCTGGCTCCGTCCCTGAGTGCAACATCTGGTATATAACTGGGTTGTCTATGAAAACCAAGACAATGATTTTATAAAATAGGTTAGGATGCCTCTAGGAAAAATGGAACCCAAAACTTTTAACATAATAAACTAAGTTAAACCCACCAAGCCACACCAACACTTATGTATTTAAGTGCAACATCAAATATATAACAAGTTTGGTTCTATGTTGTCTCTGAGAACCAAGACAATGATTGTATAAAGTAGAACCAAGCTAAACCCACCAAGCCACACTAACACTTATGTATTTAGGCTAAACCCACAAAGTCACACCAACTCTTGTTTACTAAAGTGTTTCACATTATCTTTTACCTATAATTTGGACCTTCATTGTTTTTGTTACGAGATGACAATAGATGTTTACAAGATCTAGAACAAAAATAAAAATGTAATTAATTTTTTTTTTGTCCAAATATAATGCATAAAAATTTAACAAAGAAAGAATACAATTCAAAAGTTAATTTAATAGTTCTATTTTCATTTATATTTAAATATAAAATTATTCACCAAAATTTCATTGTCAATTTATTAAAGTTTTATTTTCAATTACAATTAAGACCAATCTATAAATTCAAATAATAATAATAATTATCATGTTGGTAATCGACCCTTCCGACATGCATGGGACAGGTGGAGAATGGATATGAAAGCAATCATTATTGCATGGACCATGGTCCACACAATTGTGTGGACCATAAATAAAAAGTACATTTTTAATATACTAAGGGTACATTATTTATGTACGTAAGGTACATTTTTTGAAAGTACATTTTTAATATACTAAGGGTACATTATTTTACATAATGTACCTTCAGTACAAAAATAATGTACCTTTAGTACAAAAATAATGTACTTTTAATATATTAAAAATGTACCTGATATTCATGGTCCACACAATTGTGTGGACCATGGTCCATGCAATAATTTGCCATATGAAAGAGTAGTTGATGTCGTACAGTTATCTATAACTCATTTCTTTTGCCGTGATCTTTGTAATAATTGGGCCGCCAGCTGTCTGGGTAATAAATCTCTGGGTAATAAACGGCAAATTATGTTGTGTAACCGTGTGCACCATAATGTTCTATGTTCATAATTACCGAACTATATATTCATAATTTTTTTGAAATTCATATTCATAATGAATGAATTCTATATATTCACAATTACAGAACTCTATGTTCATAATTTTCGATGTTCATATTTCTAATTGTTGAACTCTGTATTCACAAATCACAGAACTATATGTTCATAATTTGATAACCATGAATATACTTATTTAATTTGGAAAAAATGAAGGCTTATTATAAAATTAAAATAAAATTTCGTTATTTTCCTTATTACGGAGTATATTAATACATAGTATATAGTATATTGTATATGTTATGTTATTTCCCTCTTTGCAAAATAAAAACAATTCATTCAATTCTTTCCCTCTTTGCAAGTTTTAACTTAGTGCGAATTTTTCCCTCTTTGCAACATTTGCCTTCAACAATTCGACCGTCGAATTTCTCTCCATTGCAAATTTTCTCCTTCGACAATAACACCGACTAACACCGTCGTTACCAGTGCTCTCACCGCCTCCAACCACTACAAGAAAAACAATTTTTAGTGACAAAAAATTAGTGACGGGTAAAAATATCCATCACTAAATGTATTATTTGCCTAACTTTTATAAGGATTAAAAATTACTCTACTTAAAAATTTATGAGTTAGTGACGAAATTTACATTTTATAATTATTTTAAAAATTTACTCTTGCTATTAGTACAAAAGCTATTGTTACTCTCGCTATTGATATTTGAAAATTATTTTATTACAATCTAATTTGCACCAAAATTTTGTATTTGGCGGCTTGGCGCCCTCTTTAAGTCTTGTACATAAAATTCCCCAAATCCCCCAAAATTCCCCAATTCTGAAAATCCCCTCCACCTTCGTCCGTCTGAACACAGCCAAGCCCTCCGTCCTCCATCCGTCCGTCCTCCGTCCATCGCGGCTCCACCGTCCACTGCCAACCGCGCGCCTCTCTGGACGACTGGATTCCACCCTCGGCGAGTCGGCGAACTCCGGTCACTCCCTCACGCCCTCCGGTTTCTCCATAGTCCGTCCTCCAACGCCAACTCGCCAACGCCTTCTGGGCTTCCGCCTTCCGGCCTTCACTCCTCAGGTCAGTCCTCTCACCGACTCACGGTCCTCACTCCTCAACCGGCGGTGCAACCCCTCAGCCAGGTATTTATTTTTTTTTTCTCTGTTAATATTTTGTTAAATGTTTAATTAAATAAGTAAATTTTTATGTGTTATTGTTAATTTTGAGTGTTGAGTGTGGTGTTGCATTGTTTTAAATCCCTCTACCAGTGTTATTGTTTACGCCATTGAAGATTTAGTTCGTTAGCATTAAGGAGACATTCACTTCTGTCCCTTCATCCCACCACCTCAGGTGTTTTCAAATATTTTACCTTCCTATTTCTCTGATTTTTTTTGAAGGGAATAAGGCAAGAAATTCTTTAATGCAGCTTTACCTTACTACTTTTCCTATTCTGTCATTGGTTTCATGTTGCTTCTGGTTTGATATCTGTTGCAGGTAGCCAAGACTTTTGAGTTTAGTTTGCAAATATGTTCTCAATACCATCAAGATCTTGCAAATATGTTCTCAATACACTTATGCAGGCAATTTCCTTTTACCATTCACTAACCTTCTCTTGACTTTATAGAAATATTTTAGGTTCGGAAGGCACGAACTGGGTGGGACAGATTTTTGTTTTGGAACAATCTGTGTATCTAAACTGTTTTCCTTTTATATCTTCATGCAGACTTTTCAAAATAAAAATCTTGCTCATACTGCCAAGGAGAGCACTGTTCCTATACTTATTACTGAGCTTTTGCTCTGGCTTCTAGATGAAAGGGTTCCACGAATGGATGATGGTAGTCAGCTTCTGAAAGCCTTGAATGTTCTGATGCTTAAGATTTTGGTGAGTCTGCTTTTGGAAATTTAGTGATTTTATTCTTGTGTCTTAACTATAATTGGTTGGTCATATTCTGCATGTTCTATAATGCTGATCGAACAACATCATTCGGTGTGCTCATCAATCTTTTACGGCCTTTGAACCCATCAAGGTGGCCATCTCCAACAGCAAATGAGTCCCTAGCTGTTAGAAATCAAAAGTTCTCCGTTGGTTGTGAAATGTCTTATCAAACTTACCAAGGTGATCCTCTTGTAATTGTTATCAGTGGTGACTTGTGATTGTCATCTATTTGGAATATACTCTTAGGAACGTATTGGGTTAGAAGAAATCTTTTAAAGCATTACACATTCATTCAATATTGCATTTATTATATGCATATACATGTATATATTATCACATATTTGTGTAATTTTTTTGGTACTATTCTTAATAGGTAATTTGTGTAGCTCTGTGTTTCAAGTGAACTGTGTGTAGAGTTTTAGTAAGGATTAAAAGCTCTAATGGGTAGTTATTCTTTTTTTTTTTTTTTATGGCTATCTGTTAATTAGTATATATTTATAAACCTTTTTTGTGGGAAATCTCCAATTTGCTTCATTATAATATTTAGCAACTAAGCAAAAAAACTAATTTTTTTTCCCCCTAAAATTTTCCCAAGTTTTGCCTCAGATGGGAATTGCTTTGTTCTTGTCATTGTATGATGTTGATCAATTTTTCTTGTATTTAGTTTAAGGCTCATCATCTATGTTACTTAATGAACTGACTTGTAGTATTGTTAGAATTAGTATGAGAAACTTTCTTGGTAGTTGTGTTTGATACCCCAATGGTAAGAACCACCTTGGATTGCCGGAACATCTCTCTTTAGTTTTCTCAAGTGAGACTAGACAATCGAGGAGTATTGCCTACCAAGTGTAAGGTGGCAATCTTCACGTGATTCTTTCCCTTGGGAAGGTATCAACCATATAAGTATTAGGAATAGTAATATACATTTTATGTATTTGAGGTTTACAATTCTCTGAATCATTTTCATATGTTATAGGTTCTCCAAAGCACCATTTATGAGGTTGACCTACACCGAATTCTTCAAAGCATTCACATATACCTACAAGATCTTGGTATGGAAGAAATCAGGAGGAGGTATGTATAGACATAGTAAATAGATTGCATGATTATTCTTGTTTGTCTGGAATTTTGGTATATCTTGCTGAATGCTTGGCTCTGCTTCATTAATTAAATATTTTCTTCGGGTTTTGGTTTGATGGATTACTTAGAGCTGGAGCTGATGACAAACCATTACGAATGGTAAAAACAGTTCCACACGAACTTTTTAAGCTTCGTGGTACTGCCATAAAGGGTATGCTATATGCATGCTAGCTATCACAAAACCCTATAACTTAGGGACGAAAAGTCTATTTTTTTCTTTTAGTTCATTCATTTCGATCATGCAGCATGCAGCTAATTTAATTATTTAATTTAATTTGCAGACAATGAAATTTACAAGTGCAAATGTGAGAGTAGTGATGATACTCTCCTCTACCTTTACCATAGAGAGGACATGTCAGAACTGCTACTCACTGCAAACAAGTTTGAGGTTGATGATGATGCAATACATCAACAAGTTGACCAACAAATCAATGCTCACTCCTGCTTGCAAACCATAAGAACATGCCGGACATTGATGATAAAGATTCTGCTCAAGCACTGGTAATACATTTCATTTCTATTTTGTGTTTAAATTTATTCAGATTTGAATGTTTCAAAGTGGAAATATGATGCATTTGATGCTCCAGACTTCGATGATAAAAATTCTGTTCAAGCACTGGTATTACATTCCATTTTTACTCTCTCTTCCTTGTTTCTTGCTGTTATTTAATTGCAGAATGGTTCTAGGTTTTTAATGCTTTGTTAGCTTGGGTTTAAGCCTCTCTCTTTTTCACTTGATTTGGACAGTTATTGATGATAAATTTGATTTTTATTTTTTATTTTTTAGAATAAGTTTGTTGCTCTGAAATTTGGGTGTAGAATGCGTGTGAAAGCTCGAAATTTTGGGCATTTTAGTGCTTGATGTTTTGTAATTAATAAGAGATTTCTTTGTCGTTTGTGTTTAAGTTTCATGCATTATATTCTCATGAGATTTTATCTGAATTGTTTATCAAATTTGGGTGTCTAGTAATCTCTCAAAGACTTGAAGGCTAAGACAAGAACCTGAATCATGTGTATCTGATTTGTTAACATTTTTTTTTGGGAGTGCATTTGTATTGCTTTTTCAAGTGTCTGTCTTTACTTGTTGGCTACACTTGTTATGATTCTCTTTAGGGAACTCATTATCTTGTTATGAACAGCTTGAGTATGAATGTGGTGAGAGTAAGAGGGCAGTTTCATTTCATTGCAAATTATTTATATCTATACTAATTTATTTTCTTACTTTTTACATGTAGTTTCAACAAGTTGATTATGACAAAGCGGTTATTGATCTGGTGTGATCTGAATGAGCCGATATTCTATCAAGTCATATAGAGTAGGTATGATTTGGTCATTCGAACGCTGTGATCATTTGGACTTGAATTGGTTCGGGGAATTGTTTTTTGTGTAGTAGTATTATAACTTGGATGATAATTAGAATTGGTCATGGAAGTCTTTTGACTTGTTATTTTGAACCTTATTAGCTTGTGCACAATTATGTAACTACACTTTGCAACATATGGTGAATGGATAAATTAGTTTTTTTTATACGATTATAATTTAAACAGGTGAAAAACGGTTAAAAACCGTTGTCTATTTTACAATAGACAACAATTAGAAACCGTTGACTTTTCTACAAAAGAAAACAGTTTATGGGTGTGACAAAAGCGATTTCAACAACACACAATAGACAACGGTTTATAACTGTTGTCTTTTAAAGAAAAGACAACAGTTATTAAAAGACAACAGTTAAAAACCGTTGTCTATGTACGTGACTTTTAACAACACTGGTTTCAACAACGTTTAATAGACAACGGTTAAAAAACCGTTGTCGTTGGTAGAAAAGACAACGGTTATTAACCGTTGTCTATTGCGTGACTTTTAACAACACCGGTTTCAACAACACTTAATAGACAACGGTTAAAAAACCGTTGTCGTTGGTAGAAAAGACAACGGTTAATAACCGTTGTCTATTGCGTGACTTTTAACAACACCGGTTTCAACAACACTTAATAGACAACGGTTAAAAAACCGTTGTCGTTGGTAGAAAAGACAACGGTTAATAACCGTTGTCTATTGCGTGACTTTTAACAACACCGGTTTCAACAACACTTAATAGACAACGGTTAAAAAATCGTTGTCGTTGGTAGAAAAGACAACGGTTAATAACTGTTGTCTATTGCGTGACTTTTAACAACACCGGTTTCAACAACACTTAATAGACAACGGTTAAAAAACCGTTGTCGTTTCTAGAAACGACAACGGTTATTAACCGTTGTCTATGTGCGTGACTTTTAACAACACCGGTTTCAACAACACTTAATAGACAACGGTTAAAAAACCGTTGTCGTTTCTAGAAACGACAACGGTTATTAACCGTTGTCTATGTGCGTGACTTTTAACAACACCGGTTTCAACAACACTTAATAGACAACGGTTAAAAAACCGTTGTCGTTTCTAGAAAAGACAACGGTTATTAACCGTTGTCTATGTGCGTGACTTACAACAACACCGGCTTCAACAACACTTAATAGACAACGGTTAAAAAACCATTGTTGTTTCTAGAAAAGACAACGGTTAAAAAACCGTTGTCTATGCGCGGGACTTACAGCAATACCGGCTTCAACAACAGAAACTATATCCCTACGACAACGGTTAATAACCGTTGTCTATGTGCATTTTTCTTGTAGTGATGATTGATCTCAATATGGAGTTCTCCTCCTCATCCTACCTGAGAACTGCGAATTGAAATCGATTTTAGGATTTAAATCCATTTATTCATGCTTAAATTGAGATCGTAATTTAAAAAGGACGAAAATACCCTTAATTATTTCATATTTCGGCATGTCTTAAACGGAGGGGTGACAAGCGTGATGAATTTTGGCACTAAAGAAATAGTTGTGGATGAAAATTGGTACTAAAACAATAGTCGTGCATGAAAATTGGTAACAATAATTAAACATGTGGATCCAAACTGTCATTTTACTAATATTCGTGAGACCAAAATTGGTATTTTGCTCAAATATTGTCTAAGGAAAGGAAGAGCCTGTGAACAATTATGCTCTATTTACAGAGACAAATAATATATTAAAGTTCTCATTCAACTATGCTCCCAATTGTAACTTCTGTTGGTTAGTCAATTAGAACCTGTCTATCAATATATAAACAGCATTGACCTTGCTAGCTTAGCTTATAGTTTCACCTTCAACATCACATTATCAACACTGCCATCATATCACACTGAGCTGCAACTGCAATTGAATTCCTATCATCGCTTTCGTTCTGAGGAAGTTGAAACGATTGGTTTAAAGATGCTGATTGTCTCAAGTCAGCAGGGGGGATGAAACAGTCTAATGATAAGCCTGGAATGTTGAAGCCCACCTCTTCAATTGTCCAAGCTTCTTCCATGCTGGTCTTCGTATGGCTCACCGCCGTGTCCCCAAACCGGAAGAGAGTCACAGTAGACCGACCAGAGTGGGCAATCATGATTCCTTCAACCGGACGGTAATCGTCCAGGAAAGAGCTTATGGTTGTTTCCCAATACACTGGATCTTCCCCATTCGATTCGATGCGGGTGAGCTGAGAATCTTGGATATGTACGAGGAGCCCAGACTTCTGGCTGAAGTATCCGAAAACGACGTGTCTTATGATCTCTGCAGATGATAATCCTTCAGTCCTGGCCTTCAATGTCTGAGGATCAGAAGAGAGCTTGAGGATGAAACAGTCGTCGCCATTGATGTTCTTCTCTCCTATGGTTCTAGCATTGGCAAACATAGTAGCGGTTGTTTTTGGATCCAGACCCTGAAGGGCTCGTCGCAGTGGCCTAACGGGTCCTTTTGCCGGGAGAGCACCCAGCCATGGAGTTTGCCGCCACATAATCTTGCCATTACAGCCTGCATGAATCTGGGTTCCTCCAATCGCAAGCTCCATGAACCACATGTCTGGGTTCATTTGCCAGATCACAAACCCACCATTTCTACTCTTCTTCACTGTTTTCGTAGTAGGAGTTTGGATCTCATAACACAACATCTTAAGCTTTCCCCTGGCGTAACTAGCGTTCTTGACTGAATAATTCTGGAGTTTTTTCTGCCCTCCGGAAGCCGCAATATACTGCTGCAGAATGTACTGGGCAGACGAGGTTTTGATAATGTCGTTTAGGGTGAGAAGAGGGAGAGGGTCGGAGGTGCTAACGTGCACCGGCGCGAGAGGGGCGCCCATTAGCAGCCGGAGATCGAGGTCGGAGACGGAGGGAGTTCGCGTGAGTTGTCCCTTCACCCACCGGCAGATTCCTGACCCGACCCGCTTCGGTTGCTCCCCGTCCGTATCCGGACCCTCCATCAGCGGCGTCAGGGTGGATCTAGAGACGAAATGGCTGCTGCTATTGATGATACTCCTCCTCCTCCTCCTCCTCGCCGGAGAAAATCCCCGAAACACGTCTTCCTTCAACGCCGAGAAGAACCCCTGCTTGCGCTCCATTTCTTATATGTATGTATACACGTTACAAATATCCTAACCAATTCAAGCTCAATACGCAATGCACTCTCGGAGCGGGAAACAATAACAATGTATTTGAGGAGTTGTCATGGAAAAACTTCCATCCACAGAATCAAAGCTAAAAATCAAAGCAAAAAAAAAAAAAAAAAAAAGGAAGGACTAAAATATGGTGAGGATCGGAAAAGAAAATATTTACAAAAATATAGAATATATATATTTGTAAAGAGAATCCAGATTCCATATGATAATGGTTAAATTTCTAAGTTATTTAGGAATCTTTAATTCAGAATTTTTGATAAAGTTATTACTTCTATGGGGGATGGTGATAGAATAATTGGACAAGTACAGACTCGCGCATGCTCCAAGAAAGCCAACGGTCACATAACGAAAACATTTACTTGACATTGACTTATTCAAGGCAGGACAGAATGTAGAGTTGCTAAATTGGCTCCTCATTACTAAGGGAGCGTTAAGTAACCAGAAGAACTCTAGAGACTTTAGGATAAATAGAAGACTTTTCATTCAGAAAAGGACACTCTCAAAGTTTTGTACTCGTCACACTCTAGCAATACGATTACTTTACTTAATTATTATTTTCTAAATTATATTCCGGTAACATATTTATCGTAAAAATGTAATTCTAAATTTTAATGCATCACATGATGTCAGCAGGACAGCAAGGTTTTAGTTTTGGAAGTGCAAATCCCAGTAGAAATATCCCTAGCAAGATCAACTTTCAGCAATCCGTACAGCTTGGAAACAAAGATATGGGTATTCTTGGAAGGATATGATACCACTGCCATTAGGAAACAAATATATGGATATTCTTGGAAGGATATGATACCAATACCGGCCATTATGACTTGATCAAGTGCAAAATAATGAATTAGGAGCTACTCACCGTCACCCAATAATAGTTTAATATCTATTAAATTATACCCGCATGAGTAGCTTAACTGATCATAGAGGTGAAAGTTTGAAAGAATGACAAGGGATTGAGTCTTACCAGCGGCCATGGTTGCAGTAGGCGCTAGTCGGGCACCCAAACAGCGCCTAGCGCCTAGGCGGAATCTAGGCGGCGCTAGGTGGGCGCAAAAAAAAAACAGCAATAGACTTGCAATTTGACAATTTTAATGAGGTTGTTTTCAACTTTTAATCAAATAACACATCCAAATAAATGAATCAATGATAATTCATAAGTCATAACATCAAAACAATGATTTAAAAAAAAAACATTAAAACAATATTAAAAATTAAAAATACTCAAATACTTCAATCATCCAAAGATTCAAAGTATCAAACTAGTCTACGAGTGTATATATGTCATATTATATATAAGTATGCACGCGCGCGCACTCACACACACATATATATAATAAAAAAAATAGGCCGAGCCGATCAGGTTAACTCGACCGAAATGGACGAGTTAACTCGACTAACTTAGATGCTAGGCGGCCAAATCGGCCGAATTAGGCGCTAGGCGGACGCCTAGGCGGCCGATAACCTAGGCGGGCGCCTAGGAGGGAAATCGTCACGGTCTAGAGGGGCCTAGCGCCTAGGCGGGCGCCTAGACCGATTTTTACAACCCTGCCAGCGGCAGTGTGGAAGCAACCTCTCAAAGTGTGAGGGGGCTCATTGTGCGCAGTGAGCAAATGTCTAGCCTCTATGGTTCAGGTTCAGTTGAGTCACCATGATTTACATCCTCCTAAATGCCCTGTCGGGCCGGGATATGGGGGTCCGGGCCCTTAGGGTTGAGGTTCAACCTTTGGAAGAATATCTATTAAATTATAGTATAAGAGTTATATCAACTACTATATAGTGTGATGATATATTATTTGTTACTATTTTAATTGGGTGGTCACAAGATCGAAATATTTTGGTGTAATCATGTGCATTGATAGTTGCTTGTACATTTTAATTTCGTCATTGTACAATGATAAGATATTTTTAAATTTATCATATTTTCTTTTTAGCTTTTTCCTTTATGTACAAATTTGGCAGAAGGGTCAAATAGGCTCATGTGCTAACACTGATTGTTCATTTAGCACCATGAACTAAAATATGGTCCATCTAGGCCATTATCAATCGTTATGCTGTGAGCATGTGCCCACCTTGCATGGTGCGCACGAATCTATATCCATAATTTTTATACTGTAGATCCATAATTTCTAGACTCTCGGTGAGTTAAAATTTATACTTTAGATTCATAATTTCTAAAACCGTAGGATCCATAATTTAAATACAGTAGACCCATAATTTCTATACAGTATATTCATAATTTCTATACAGTAGATCCATAGTTTCTATACTGCACTGATTTGTGAAAACATGGTTCAACAATTGGAATCCGGAGAGTACGCGTCTAGAAATTATGGATCTACAGTATAGAAATTATGGATATAGATTCATGCGCACCATGTGCATGGTGGGCCCGTGCTCACAATATAATTTGCCGGCCATTATACTCCTAATTATTGTTCATTTAACAATTTTAGCTTATTTCTAACAAGTAACCCATCTAATTTGCTGACATGAAAATCTAATTTGCTGACATGAAAAAATAAAATAAAAACAAAATGCTGACATGTTATTTAATTATATGGATGTTTTGGATTATTTCTACCCTATAATTACCAAACCAACATGGTGTTTTAATCCTTAGGATTTTAGGAACCAAATCTGATTAGATCAATACCACCACAACTAGAAAATAAAACAATAAAGCTTAAATTATATCATATATGGCATTGTGCCATAGTCCCCAGCTAGAAACCATACATTAAGGCTTGTAAGATGATCAGTAAACTGAAGAATCAGATAATTTATATTTGTCTGGGTTAAATTTGACAAATGTCTATGTTACTGTCAAACAACAATATCTACACTGCTATCCTGAATAACCAAACTTTTATGCAAAATCAGTTCGTCATTTTAGCACTAAATATGCAAAATTTTCAAGTTATGCAACAACACATAACATATGATTATGGTACAAAACACACGTAACTACAAATTAAGCCAACAAATAAATAGATTGTTCATTCTATTTAATAAGCCAATAAGATTGGTCAATCTGATTACAAAAGGATTGCCAAAATGTTCCTTACTCATCATTACAAAATGCACTACAGAATTGCCAAAAAATAGCATTATAAGTGACAACATTAAAATGTTCCCTACATAGCAATTCATGGATCCACAGTAGAAAGAGTTGCAGTAGATTGGTTAGATCGAAGTGACAGTAGGACAATATTTTTTGTTATGACCCTTTTTCTTACAAATGCTACAAGTCATTTCCCTTCCTTTTCTAGACAAGTATTTTCCTTTTTTAGAATTTTTTGGCTCATTTTCTTCACGGTTTCTTTTTTTCTTTGACCTTCCGGTCATCTTCTTTGGAAGAGGTGCACGGATTTCTTCAATTTGAACTCTTGGCCAAAATGCTTCACCATTCAGTGGGAGGAGTGCATGTGCATATGTTTTCGTGTACATTTACCATGAGAAGAAGTAATGAATGTAGGTTTGAGGTTGTCTACCTTTGTCAAAGATGGCACAAATCAGGGACGGAGTCAGAAATTCGATTGAGGGGGGGGGGGGGGGGTCGAAGTAGGACAAATTCAGAAATTTTTTCTAGTAAAAGCGAAACATTAAAACAAAAGATATAATTTAAAAAAAAATAAATAAATTACCTAAGAATTTTTTTTTATAACCATTACTTAAGAAATATAATTGTAATTTAATAAAATAATTTGAATAGAAAACATATTATAAATTATACATATCACTATTAATATAAAAGAATGTTATATATATATATATATATATATATATATATATATATATATATATGTGTGTGTGTGTGTGTGTGTGTGTGTGTGTGTGTGTGTGTGTGTGTTAAATATTTAAAAAGTAAATGTGTTAAAGCCATAGGAGAAGGACAAAATATGCTAATGCAAGATTTCGAACCCAAAACCTTTCCTATTACCACAAATATACTCTACCAACTAATCTAACTCCTTACCTATTGACATTTACTAGTTTGTTTATACTAATACTAAAACATATATTATATATACATATATACATATCTACTATACAAATAAGAGCCCAAGAGAGTTAGGTCTATAATGGGTAGAAAAAATGGCGGTCACAGATTTTAATCAAATGAATGGTTCAGATTGATTAAAAGATTGATTAGATTTAAATTTTACACTAAAATTTCCTAAAATACCCACACACCATTACTAATTCCGTTAAAATTTTAAGAATTGCCGTTAGTTCACCGTTAACTTACTCATTGATTTCATAAAAAAAAGTCTTAGGTTCGAACCTCATCCCAATCAAAGTTGGTATAATTAGTACTCTATTTTACTCTTATTAAATTATATAAATAATAATTTAGTAGTTTTTTTTTGAATGCTACTAGCTCTATTACATTGTAATAATTTAGTAGTTATAACAAAAAATAATACATATGCATTTCTTTAATTTAAAATTATGTGTCCACAATGCCTTTATTAAAAAAAAAATATTTATTATCAATAAATTTTTTTTTTTGAAAAGTTATTATCAATAAATTAAATAAGAGAAATAATTTTATTAGTTATATTGTCTTTATTTTTCTTCAATATACAAATTCTTTATATTCAAATTTATTAATTGATTATATTCGCTACATTCTCCTTACAATGTCTTTATTCAGTGAAAAAATTTATTATTAATTATCAATAAATTAATTAAAAGAAATATTTTCATTAGTTATATTGTCTTTATTTTTCTCAAATGTAAAAATTTTAACATTCAAATTCATCAATTGATTATATTCACTACATTATCTATTATCCTTTTTGTGCACTATTTTTCTAATTAAATATCAAAGTTATAATACAAAATAATGCTATATATTTATTTACCAAGTATTTTATTAATACCATGAAAAAATTAAAAAAATATAATTAATAAAGCCAACCATATTAACTACTTGAGAGATT